GCTGATGGACCCCTCAGGTCCCACCCTGCTACCCACCCATAGGCAGGGTTTTATGTGTTTCCTGATCTGGGCTGCCAGCCTTTACTTTCTCAGCTTCAGCTGTAGCCTCACCCTGAGCCCAGCCCATCTTAACTCTGTGCTCCCCAGTATGCCTGGAGTCCTTGTCCTTGGTTCCCACCCTGCTCAGCCACCCCCCCCCCATTCTCTGTCCAAGGACCAGGATGGCAGGTCCTTGCCCAGTATTCCTTTTGCCTCAGTATCCTCCAGAACAGGTTCCCTGGCCAGGGCAGGACAGGCATTCCCAAGACCCTTAACTAAAACCAAAACCTTTATTTGTTATGTGTGCAAATGTACATACCGTGGCATGCATGTGGAGGTTGGAGGCTAAGGAGGGAGTGCCCTCTCCTCCCACCTGAGCCGCAGCGGTCAGCTCAGACTGTCAGGACTCGGTGGCAAGCAACTCGAAGGTCCTAAGAGAGCGTTCTTCCCTTTCTCTGTCATCCCCCAGGACAGACCTGGGCAACTATCAATATAATTGAAAAATATGGAGATGTACACGAGAATAAAGAGCTCAGTATAATGTGCACATTCAGTGTAGCTCCAACAATCCCCAATTCAGAGGCAGTCTGCTTTAATCTGCACCTGACTCCCTATCCTCTTCCTGTTGATCGGGGCAAAGCAGTTTTCCTGCGTCACAGACTGCTGTCTGCACATTCTTCCGTGTATACCTCTGGCAGGCATGGGCTCCTCGCACCCTGAAGTTGGTACAGAGAAGGCAAGGCAGGCTACACTTCACCCCACCTCCCATCTAGCTTTCAGAACAATGAGCCAAGCAACTGTCCAAGGACAATGAGGACTTTCCAAGTCTCATTACGAACAAATTGGGTTTTAGGACATTTGGCAAGCTTTAATCTCTATTTGTTTTTGGAGATAGGAGCTCACTGTGGACCAGGCTGACCTTGAACTCATGGAAATCCTCCTGCCTCAACTTCCTGGATTCCGGGATTACAGATGTGAGTCTCTGTGTAAGGCTTTCATAATTGTTTGTGCTGTTGGAATTCTTCTGCTGTTACTTATACCCTTCCAAAAAAAGTGTGGGTGTGGGTGTGCACAAGCAAGGGTGTACATTTGTGTGGGGGATGTACCTGTGTGTGCACAAGGCTGTGTGTGTGTGTGTGTGTGTGTGTGAGAGAGAGAGAGAGAGAGAGAGAGAGAGAGAGAGAGAGAGAGAATGGGTGTACATGTGTGTGGAGGTCAGAAGACAAATTTCTGGTGTTTTTCCTCAGGGGCAATCCACCTTGATTTTTGAGACAAGATCTCTCTTCACAGCCCTGGCTGTGCTGGAACTCACTGTGTAGACCAGGCTGGCCTTAAATTCACAGAGATCCACCTGCCTCTATCTCCCGAGTGCTGGGATAAAGGCATGTGCCACCATGCACTTTATGCCGTACATTTTTATGTGGGTTCTGGGAATTGAGCTCAGGTCCGCATGCTTACACAGCAAACACTTTACCTCCCAAGCCACGCCCTCAGTCTGCTCTTTCCAAAGGTTTTAGTGGAAGTAATTTTGAGAAACTAACGGAGGAGATTATGGTAACATTTCAAACTCACATTTAAAGATTTGTTTGTACTTCTTTGATTTTTACTTCTGTATCTTTTATATCTTGGTTCCTAAGGAACTCAAAAGGATTGCTTATTTGATATGTAAACATATATATTTGATTTGTTCAGACAGTCGGCACTCCGTATCTCTAGGTTCTGCAGCCCACACCAGGTGGGAGATATTTGAAAAACAAATTCCATCTGGAATGGACTAGTGCGGTCTCTTATTCTTTCCCCAACAGTATAAGGCAGCAACACTCGATCTGGCATTCCCATTGTGCTAGGTAATTTTGAGGAATCTAGAGATGGTTCGAGCCACACTGGAGGATGTAGTAAGTTCTAAGAACAGACTATACTGTTTTATGTGAAGGACTTGAACACTGAGGATTTTAGCCTGGGGGCATCTGGAGTGGGTCCCTGTCAATCTTATTACTGATGATTCAATTTGTGGTTTGTGGTTGTGTTAGAATATAATTCAATCAACTGAAGGATACCTAAGTGTGTGTGTGTGTGTGTGTGTGTGTGTGTGTGTGTTATGCCTTCACATGTGTATGCAGATGCATGCACCTGGTCGCCTGTGCAGAGGGCCTCTGGTGTCCTGCCCTATCACTCTTTGCCTTGTTCCTTTGAGGCAGACTCTCGTTCAACCTAGAGTTTGAGTTTTTCAGTCTGACTGAAGCCAAGAGTCCCAGAGACCCTAGCACCAACTCTTCGGTGCTGGGGTTATAGGCATGCACAGGGTCACACCTGGCATTTAGGTGGGTGGTAGGATCTGAACTCTGACTTTCATGCTTGAAGGGCCAGCACTCTTAGCCACGGAGCCATCTCTCTAGCTATTTCTTGTGTTTTGCTAGTATAAGCCGTGTTGCAGTACAAGGTTCATGTGTTTATTCTCTCTCTCTCTCTCTCTCTCTCTCTCTCTCTATATATATATATATATATATATATATATATATATATATCTTCTCTAGGGTCTTACATAGCTCAGGCTGGCCTTGAACTCACTATGTAGCTGAGGATGACCTTGAACTCCTTATACCTGCCTCTACCTACCTCTCAAGTATATGGATTACTGATGTGTCCCACCATGCCCAGTTTTATTTTCATTTTTTCCCCCTCTCATTTGTCTTTGGGTTAGCTAGTGGTGGGATTTTTGGGTCAAAGGGCACATACACTTTTGCTAGACTACCAAAATGCCCTTCCCACCGGTGATTAGGAAAGCACCTGCCACCCTAGCCTTTCCCAAAGATTGTGCCGTCAAACACCTGGAGTTTTGCCAATCAGATAGTGGGCCACTGGTATCAGAGTGTACTTTTAATTTGCATTTTCTTGTTATGAGTGAGGCTGAACATTTTTTTCCGGAGGCACCAAGGCCACATGCCTCTTTCTCTGTGTGCTGGTCCTGTTTTCAGCCCTCTCTCCCATAGCACTGTCTGCCACAGTCTTCTCTGGCTTTAGATGCTCCTTATGTACTAGTGGTACGAATCCCTTGCCTGTGGTGGTGAAAATGTGGAGACTGTCCCAGCGTGTCCTTTATCTCTTACTTCCCCTGTGGTGGCTTTCTGTTTTATCTGATACTTCCGGATTTCACAGCACAGTGGGAAAAGTTTTCCTTAGTGCTGGTTTCTTGAGGCAGTGCTCTTCCTCCTTTCCCTGCCATCTCCTCAGGACAGAGGACAGGCGCACACTCTACCTCTGCCTTTCCCCTCAGCCCTTACTGAGGGGAGCCCTTACTGAGTCCTTTCTGAAGAGCTTTATTTTAACTTTTATGCCAAAGCCTTTGATCCAGCTGTCCTCGCTTCCCTTTATTTCTGTGGTAAACACCAGGATCAAGAGCAACTGAGGTGAGGCAAGTTATTTCAGTTTACTGGTTAGAGTCCCATCATCAAGGGAGCTCAGTGCAGTGCCGTGATCAGGAACCTGGAAGCAGGCTTGTTCACTATTCCACAAGGCATCATCTCCCATCAAAGAACTCATTCACAGCCAAGAAAGCACAGCAGAACCCCCAGAGCAACACTGCTGGCTTGCTTGTTATCAGGCCCATTCTTAGCCAGCTTTCTTAGACAGCTTAGGACCAGATACAGCCCAAGGAACAAATGCCACCCACAGTGGCCTGTGCCCTCCTCCATCAATTAAAACAATCAAGACAACCCCCCCTCAGACACACTCACAGGCTAATCTAATCGGGGTAGTCCTTCAGTTGAGATTCCCTTCTCAGATAACTCTGGGCTACATCAAGTTGACAACTGACGATAACAAGGACACCACCTGAAAGTTATTCTTGTGCACGGTGTGAGAGGTGTGAGAGGTGGGCCTGGCTGATCCTTCGTCTTCTCTGCATGCCCATCTAGTGTCAATACTTTATTGTTGGTTTAAGGCAGGGTCTGATGTAGCTCAGGCTGATCCTGAACTTGCTGTAGAGCCTGGGAGAATCTTGAGCTCCTGATCCTCCTGCCTCCGCCTCCCGAGTGCTGGGACTATAGACCCGTACTACCACCTGGGTGCTTATTGAAGGCACACTTTTCTTCTACTGTATTTGGAATATGGAGATGCAGATGTTGGTCACATCTGTGTTCTGGGATCCACACAAAGGCCGGTGTAGACCTGGTCGAAGCAGCTCCCAAGAGCCAGCTGAGCAAATCTTCTGACTCTGTTCTCACAGAACAAGAGTTCCAGGACAAGATGCTCCTTCATGACGCTGGGGAGGAGGAAACGTTTCTCCCTTTACCTGCCCAGGCAGCCCCGCAGGCAGGGTCTACCAAGAAAAACCCCCAATCTAGCCCCTGGCTCGGCTAACTTTAGCTAGCTCTCACTGAGTGCCACTCATGGTCTGTCCTCATCTCCTCAATCCCACATCCTTAGTGGGCAGCATTTAGCTACTGGGAGGGCACGTTTGCATTTGCCACTGCCAGTAGCGACTTCTGTCACTCCAGGATGCTCAGTGTTCTTTGGATCAACACTTCCTTATCCTGTGCCCAAGAGTGTCTATGCGTGGCCCGGGGAAGCCCTTCTTTCGGCCTCCTGCTCCCTCTTTAGGGCAGTTTCAGAGGTCGAGTGCCTGTGCTCCATCCGGTTCTTGGTGGTGGCACCTGCTAGTCCCCAGTTAGAGGACTTTAGAGCCCGGCAGGGCGGGAGGGCCTCGGAGTGCTGATGAGCACGTGCGCCCAACAGGTGCTCACAGAGGGGAGCTCTGCGAGCAGCCTGGAATGGTATGGCTGGAGTGGCAGGTGGCCTGCTGCTGGCTGAGCCTGGGTGCAGGTAGGCGCTTAGTGGCGCCCAGGGGCGGGGCGTCCTGGGGGCGGGGCGTGCCATCCCTGGGGACCGGCCCCCTCCCCCGCCCCCAGGCCAGGCAGACAGCGGCCCCCGGTGGCTGGGCTGGCTGTAGCGGCTACCCGCACTGCACCCAGCGCCCTGTGCCGCCTTCACCTCATCTCTGAGGCCCGGCGCGTCCAGGGGTCCTGCCCGGCTATGGACTCAGCGTCGTCCCCGCCGAGTGCGGAGAGGAAGCGCGCGGGCTGGGGCCTCCGGCTGGGCGCCCGGCGGGGCAGCGCGGGACTAGCCAAGAAGTGTCCCTTTTCGCTGGAGCTGACTGAGGGTGGCCCGGCTGGCGGCACGCTCTACGCGCCCATCGCGCCTCCCGGAGCCTCGGGGCCCGGGTCCCCCATGTCGCCCCCTGTGTCGCCCGCCGCGGGCCCCGCAGACCTCGGACCACGGCCACGGGTGAGCCTTGACCCGCGCGTCTCCATCTACAGCACGCGCCGCCCGCTGCTGGCGCGCACTCACATCCAGGGCCGCGTCTACAACTTCCTCGAGCGCCCCACGGGCTGGAAGTGTTTCGTGTACCACTTCACCGTGTGAGTAACCTCCCCGCGCTCCTCTGGGCTGGTACCGCTGCGACCCTGAGGGAGGCAAGGAAAGGCTAATCACAGAAACAGAAATCAGACTGGGGGCTGCTCCCTTAAGTTCAGAGACTCTGCTGTGACTGAGAGAGAGGCATGTGAAGGGGGACACTTGGAACATGGGGTATGCCAGCCCAAGAGTTCCCCAACACTGAACTCTTGGGATGGAGGAACTGCGTCTGTGAGTTAGTCCCCATAGGAGGAGTAAGCAAGCCGGGAGCCCGCCTTTTGGTGTGGGTCAGCAGTGACAGGAGACTCAGGAGCCCCTAGGAGTGACTGGTGTCTGTGTACAAACCCAACCAAACCTTGGCGGGTATTTCTATCCCGGGCACTCAGAGTAGCTGGAACTTGTACGGGATGGACCGGCAGGTGCATTGGTGTTGCCCAAGATGTCCAACAGGGGTGTATCCACAGCTTCGGTAACCCAAGCTGATGAAAGTGGGCTGGATGCCCTGAGCCCAGCGGACACATTATCAAGAGTCCACGACCAGCACCTGCTTTAGAGAACAGGGGAGGGAGCAGAACTGCACCTGGCCTTCCCTGCTACCAGGTGGCTCTCATTCTCACCAGCGGCCTGAGAGGGGCAGGGCATTCTATTTTTCAAGGGCAGGGGCACAGGAAGTCATCTCCAGGAATGGTCTGGCTGCCCTCCTTGCTGCCTCCCCCTGGCCACCTCGAAGCAGCACTTCCTGGCCGCCCAGCTTCTTGGTGCCCTGCCACCCTCTGGCTTCAGATTCTACTCTACCAACCCCGCAGCTAATTGCTGTGGAAGCTCCACTAGTTTTGCCACCTGGGCAGGGCCTCCGCTGCGTGTCCAGGGTTCTGTTTACTCCTCCGAGGCACAGCAAGAGCCAGGCTCACGAAGGTGAATTCTGATGGCTGCTTGACTTGCACAGGGAGACAAAGACCTTCCATGGTAGCCAGGGCAAGTCCCAGGACACCCTGCCCCCACAGGCATTCTTGATTTGTCCTTAAGGCCACCCGAGCCCCAGTCTTGCCTCCCAAAGTGCCAGGACCCCTGAGACTTCATTGCTGCTTTGGGTGATAACGGCTCTATGTGTGTCTGCAGCGGCCATGGGCTTTTCTCAGGGCATAGGGAATAGTGTGCAAAGACCCCAAGGGGCCTTACCGCTGAATGTCTAGCAAACACATGGCTTGCTACTTCCCAGCACTGACCTCCTGAACCCTAAGATCCTTAAGATGAAAGGCTTGGGGTGCTGGAGAAGCCCCCACCCAATTACCTCTTTGTCCAGGAGCCCCATTTGCCAAGGTGAGCAGCCTTCAGAAACTTACATGGTATCCTCCTGGGGATTTAGGTCCTTAGAATGAGCATCGTTAAGTTCCTGACTGTGGTAGCCTGGCCCTGGTGGAGGAAGAGGGCTTGTCCCGCCCCAGAGGAAGTCTGTGCTTACACTGTGCTTTCTTCCTGAATTGGATTGTTCAGCCCTCGGGAAGTTTGCTCAGCAGAGCTGCCTTTGCCCAGCCTCCCCAGCAGCCAGGAGCCATAGGGTCCTGGTGACTTTCTAGATTGGTGGTCTAAGGGCTTCTTTGCTGAGAAGAGGGAGTGAGATGCTAGCTGCTGAGTAGCAGTTGGTCAGCCTTCCCCAGCCCTAGCACTGGCTGGCCAAGGAGTAAGTAAGGTGGGAAGACCCTGCTGGGCACTGCATGTGGCTTGCCTTGACTCTGGGGAAGGGGGTCTCATTTCTAGCACCTTTAGGAGGTGGGCAGGACCCTCTGGGTCATGCAGTCTGCTGAGAGGAGACATGACCAGCAGCTAGGAGCCTGGTCACATCTTTATGGAATGCACGGTCATTCATGCTGATTGCCCCTGGTGTTGCTCTAAGTAACAAATGCAACATTGGCAGACGGCAAGTTCTGCTCTTGGTAAGATGAACTCTAGAACATAATCAGGTGATGGTTTTGTGGCTGGAAGGACAGATTTGCTCTTGAAAAGCAGGGAACAAATGTGTGGGAGTGGAGGGAGAGTAGGGATGAGAGCCAGCGTCCTGCAGGCTCTGGGGTATGCTTTCCCACATGCATATGGGGAAACAGGCCCGGACATCCTGGCCCCTCCTTGGGGGACCCCTGCCTTGGCCCAAATAGAGCAGCTCTTCCTGAGTCTGTGCTGGCCTTCTCAGGCTGACAGGGTCAGGGCATGCCCTCAGGCGCTGCCCTTTGCTGCTTGGGTCCCCACCCCCTCACCCTAATCCTTTCCTGTGGTCTTTTGTGTCCCCATAGAGAGAAGTCCCCTTCCTAGCTGAGGTCACAGAGGTTCAACTGCCTCTGCTGGACTTTGGCCAGGGTCAAGGGCAGATGTTCTGCTGTATTTACTCTGTCGAGCTGCTTGGAGATCCTGGTTGTGACTAGCAGAGGATTTGAGAGACACTACCCCCTCCCTGGTTCTTGAACCTAAACTTGAGCACCTCCTTTCCATCCCCTCACAGTCTTGGTTTGCTCAGTTCCCAAGAACTTCCTGGTGGCTTTTGCTAGTACCTCAGGAACTGATCATGAGTGGAGCTTGCAGCTGCACCTGGTGGTTGCCTGGGCTGGCCTTTCCAAATGCAGGGGCTGCACTGTATTGGCTGTGACTCTTGAGGAGTGGCCACTGGGTAATTGTTCAACAGACCTAGGAAGATAGCTGGCAGGATGATGGAGCTGGAGCTGAGGCAGTTGCAGGGCTTTCTGGATGACCAAGTCTTCCCTTTTGGTTCCCTGACAGCATTTCTATTCTTCAGCCCTGGAAAAGAATAAATTTTGAGGTGTCTCTTTGGGGCTTCTCTACGTACCTTCTCCTCTGGGGCCTGGCTCCTTGGTGTCATCTCTTGGTGTCATTCCCTGACTGTCCAGAAATACATAGCCGCCTCAACCTGTTCTCAGAGTCAGCCTGGTATTTCTGTGTACACTGTTGCTTGTATGTGGAGCCCTTCATCTTGGCTTGCCCTTAGCTGGGTGGCTACAGGCATTTTTTTTTTCTTGGCCAGGGCTCTCAGCTAGGGAGGAGGAGGAAACAAGCCCATGGAACTCTAGTCTGAGGAAGAGCAGCTCTACTCTGGGGTCATGAGGCATGGGGACCTATGGCAGGCCAAGGTGGTCCTGGGAGCTACTGAGGCAAGAAAGGAAAGAAGTCATAGTGTTACAATGACAGGGGTCAGGCCCCAGCTGTTGTGACCTCTGTTTCTTAGGGAGTTTGGTGCTTTGGGCCCTCTGGTGGCAAAGCAGGGTCCAGAATGCATGCTTCCTGGGTGTGGTGTCCCCTTTGCAAACAGTGGCTGCTTCCAGGGCACAATGCAGGGTGGCATTCACAGTGGTTTCCCTAGCAGAGGAGAGTTGCAGCTGCTTCTGTCAGTGGCTTCTGAGTAACGAGATGCACAGGTTCTGGCCATGACCTGGCTGCCTCAGGGCCCCTGCTCCTCAGCACCCTTATCTAGGAGGTGGGCACTGATTAGCTCCATGGTGCCTGCCAGCTCTGACATTCCAGGTCAACTGCTGGCTCTTATGCACCTTGCTGTGATTCTGTTCCCTCTTCGTGAGTCTGACAGGCTGGGGTCAGCCTCCAAGGAGCTGTTCCAGGCCCAAGGTGGCATGAGAATGTATAGTCAGTCCTGAGGAAAGGTTGCAGAGAAGCTTCTGGAAGCTCTTACGTGAGGTGCCCAGCCCCTGCCTCTGGCAGGGAGAATGAAGGGATGTGGGCTGCCAGCAAGGGTCAGTTGGACACTGAACCTAAGGGATAGTTGCAGAGGGGAGGAGCAGGCCCTTTTGACCCTGTGGGGAAGCATGTGGAGTAACAGGTAGGGCAGGGGGAGGCTGGTCCTGCAGTGCCTCAGGGCCAAAGAGTAGGTGGTGCTAACATGTCACCCCAGCTCTGCTTACCCCACCCAAAGGCCTTTGGGATGCATCCCTCTCACCTCTTCCTGGTGGGAAACCCTTTCTATAGCTGCGCTGAGTGTGCAGAGCCCCAGACTTCCCAGGGCTACAGAGAGGAGCTAGTGATTACTCTATCAGCAGGGTGACTGTGGTCATCATGGGACCTGACTTTCCGTGAGGCTTCTGAGCACGTGAAAAGACTGCCTCTGTAAGCCCTTTATCTTCTACTGTGTGGCCCAGCCCCCCTCCCAGGACCTACCCAGAGGCCTCTTGAAAGGTGAAAGGGACTACAGCAGCACCTCTGTCAAGTATGGCTACTTATTGGGTACAGCTGAGAACCCTGGAGCTCAGAGAGGGAAGATTACTTGCCTAGGGTCACACAGCTGGGTGTGCCCAAGGGGCCAGGAGCTCCTTCCCCATATACCCCATGATGATCTGAACCAAGGAAAGAATGGTTGCTGCTCTTCTAGGAGGAGAGACGAGAGTCCTTGGACAGAAGGAGCCTGTCCGCTGAGGATGCATTGGAGTCCACCCTGACACATGTCAGCGTTAGTGCACACTGTCACATGTTCAGAAATTGCTTCCTTCAGGAAATATTCCCAGGCAGAGATACGCTCAGTGCTCCTGTCTGTCCCCCTGCCCTGTCTTCTTGCACACAGAGAGTGGATTGGTAAAGCTGTCTTTTTTTGATATTAGCCTGTGTCTTGATGCCCGTGAGTGTTAAGAGCCCATACAGGGAAGCAGGCAGCTACCTGGTTCTGTGTGGCTCCTTTTTTGGGTTTTCTTTGCCTTCTCTCTGCTGGTGCTCGCCCCACCCTCACAGCCAGGTCTGTGGTCAACAGGCCTGCTGCCTGGACAACTCTAAGCCCCACAGACAGGCCAGACTGATGACATATGTCTGCAGTATTTTTATCCAGTGACATTCCTGAGCTTGGGAAAGTGGTGGGAAGAGACAGAGGCTGTCAAGGACCTTCTGTGGCCTGGGGACAGTCTTGAGGGCCCTACCCATTGCTGTTCTAATAAGCGAGAGCTTCTGTCTTGGCCACTGCCTTGGCTGAGCACAGGCAGATCTGAGATGGGAGCACTTCACA